TGCGCCACCATGCCTGGCTAATTTTTTGATTTATTGTAGAGATGAGGTCTCACCATGTTGCTCAGGCTGGTCTTGAACCCCTGAGCTCAGGCAATTCTCTTGCCTCCACCTACCAAAGAGCTGGGATTACAGATGTGTACTACCATGCCCAGCCCATAAATCCAATATCTTTATGTCCTTTTTTTTTTTTTGAGTTAGAGTCGCACTCTGTCCCCCAGGCTAGAGTGTGGAGGCACACTCACAGCCACCCCAGCATTGAGTTGCTGGGCTCTGGAGATCCTTTCCGCCTCAACCTTCTAAGTAGCTGGAACTATAAATGCGTGCTACCACGCCTGGCTAATTTTTTGATTTTTTATTGTAGAAACAAGGTCTCACCAAGTTGCCCAGGCTAGTCTCAAACCTATGGGCTCAGGTAATCCACTTGGCTTGGCCTTCCAAAGTGCTGGGATTACAGGCTGAGCCACCAAGCCCGGCCATTTTTATGTACTTGACTGCTTTTCCTACTCAGATTTCTTCTTCTCAGAATCCTATATCAAATGGTGTTTTGATTTTTTATTTAAAAGAAAATCACAATACACTTTGCCTTTGGGTATGGTTATTTCAGCCAAGATTTTTATTTGTGCCTGCCTTTATGCAACATATGTGAGGCTGGGGAAGCAGATGAGGAGACTGAATGATACTAAGGAAAGGGGTGGTTGAGAACAGTGTGTTAAGGCTGAGCACGGTGGCTCACACCTATAATCTAGGCACTTTGGAAGGCCAAGGCAAGAGCGTCACTTGAGGCCAGGAGTTCAAGATCAGCTTAGGCAACATAGTGAGACCCCCATCACAACAAAAAATAAAAATATTACCCAGGCATGGTGGCATGGGCCTGTAGTCCCAGCTACTCAGGAAGCTGAGGTAAAAGTATTGCTTGAACCCAGGAATTGTTTGTAGTGAGCTATAATCAACATCACTACACTCCATCCTGGGTGAGACCCTGTCTCTAAAAATAAAGATAAAAAAACAAAAACAGGCCAGGCGCAGTGGCTCAAGCCTATAATCCCAGCACTTTGGGAGGCTGAGGCGAGAGGATTGCCTGAACTTGGGTTCGAGACCAGCCTGGGTGAGACCTCGTCTCTACAATAAATTTAAAAAAAATTAGCCAGGTGTGATGGCACGCACCTGTAGTTCCGGCTACTTGGAAGGCTGAGGTGGAAGGATCACCTGAGCCCAGCAGGTTGAGGCTGCAGTAGCTGGGAGTGTGCCACTGCACTTCAGCCTGGGCAACAGAGTGAGACTCCAGCTAAAACAAAACAAAACAAAACAAAACAAAAAGAACACTGTAGGGATTGGCAGAGCCTCCAGAGCATTGGCAGTGGTCACTGACTGTGGTATACCTTGCAGGACCTTGAAGCCCTAGGCAAGGAGCATCCATCCACTGGCCCCTTGCTCTGCTGTCTTGGTCTTCATGCCCTAACTTTCCAGGTGGAGGACTTGAAGTCTCAGTTGGTGGCCCAGAATAACTCGCAGAAGCTGGTGGAACAAGAGGTTCAGGAGAAGCTGAGAGAGGCCCAGGAGTGTAGCCGAATTCAGAAGGAGCTGGAGAGAGAGAAAGCCAGGTAGGCTAGACAGACCATGGTGACTTTTGCCCATCTGGCTACATTGGTCACTGTGACATTGACAGTTCTTTGCTCAGGCCACCTTGCCATTTGTGTCTCTAGCTCTGGGATGTATATGTAACAGCCATGTGGAAAGGACATGGCCCCTGTTTCCAAAGCTTGCATTTCATTCATTTCGTAAATATTTAGGGAACACCTGTTATGCACCAGGCACTATGCCAGGGTTGGGAATACAGTGATAAACACAATGCAATAGAATTTATAGCTTTGTGGGGAAGACATTCATCAAATAATCCCCAAAACAAATTATTACAGAATATGATACATGGTGTGGAGGAAACAAGGTAAGAGGAAACTTACTTTAGAAATGTTTTTATGCAAGGTCTTTCTTAGGGTATTGCATTTAAACTATGCACTGAGTGTGAGATGGAGCCACCCATGTGAAAGGCTGAGGGAGAGTCCTGTACTGTAAGGATAGAAGTCATGTGCAAAGGCAGATAAAAGCTAACAATATTTGGTGAAAGTGGAGAAGTGTGATGTGACTGGAGCATGGAGAATGAGGAGAGTGACATGAGCCAGGCCAGTCCACAGCATTCAGGATTTGGCAGGTCATGGGAAGCAGTTGCTAATTTATTTTAAGTTTAGTAGAAAACCACTGGAGGGTTTTAAGCAGGGAAATTGACATAATCTGATTCATATTGATTAGAAGGGATAGTAATGACATGATATTAGTAGGGACACAAGACCATTCAGAATGAAGAACAGGAGGTATTCTTAGTGCTATAGAATTTTGAGAAAGGACAGATTCATTTGGCGATGAAACTAGAGGCAGGAAGACTAGTGAGGAGGCTGGTCTGGTTATCCAGATGGGAGATACTAATGCTGAACCAAGGTAGGGTAGCAGGGAAGGTGGGAGAGAAGGGGTCTAAGAGATGTTAAGGGGGTTAGAATCAACTATGTATGGTTATAAATGTAGGGGGGATGAAGGAAGAAGTCTGTGAAATGGTCAAGGTTTCAATGTTGGAACACTGTGGATGAAAGTGCCATTCACTGAACGAGGGAACACTGTGGGAGATGATTGGGTGGGGAGGAAAGGTACAGAGGGGATGGGAAGATTTGGACAGGCTGAATTTGAGTAATTATATAGATATATGTGGAATTTGCCAGAGAATAATGAATTGTGAAGTTGAAATAGGTATCATGTGCACTTAGTAAGTGCTCAATAAAGGATAGCTTTTATTGTTACACTATAATGATTATCAGTACTATTTCTATTTTAATTATTAATGCTATGGTTGGAATAGTCAGATGATAGCTGGGCGTGGCATCGCACGCCTGTAGTTCCAGCTACTTGGTAAGCAGAGGCGGAAGGATCTCCGGAGCCCAGCAGGTCGAGGCTGTAGTGACCGTGAGCATGCCACTGCACTCCAGTCTGGGCGACACAGTGAGATTCCAACTCAAAAAAAAAAAAAAATAGTCAGATGAGAAGGTAGTTTTTCATTTCCTAAGAGAATAGCCCAGTTCTCTGACCCCTCTCTTCCTAGCCTGACTCTGTCGCTGGTGGAAAAAGAACAGAGACTCCTTGTTTTACAAGAAGCTGACTCTGTTCGGCAACAAGAGCTGAATGCCCTACGCCAGGACATGGAGGAGGCCCAGGGAGGGCAGAAAGAGCTCAGTGCCCAGGTACTTCCCACTCTGCTTATGAGCCCTGCTTCCTAAGTGGAAGCCAATTAACTGGTTGATTGCTCAGAGTCCTCTCATGGAGAGCATCCTTTTCTTTTTCCTAATGATAGAATAGGCTTGTACCTCAACAGCCCTGGCAGGAAGGGGAAGCCAGGACTGGGCAGGGAGGGGGCTTGGGAGCCTGCCCAGAGATGTGAATGGCTCCTGTGGGAAACTTGACAGCCGAGAACATAGTGCCCAAGGGGGTGGAGCCCACACAGGCCTGATTTGGGTGTGCTTGGCCTTCCATGTATGCTTGATCGTCTGTGTGCTTGGTCTTCCGTGTGCTTGGTCTGCCAAGTGTGTTTGGTCTGGTTGGCAAGGGGCACCAGGGGGAATCGAGCAACAAGTAACACTCCAGATCAGGTAGAGAGAAGCAAGAGGACTTCCAGGGAATCTACCCACACCAGGATCTCAAACCTTGTGTACAGAGGAAAGATGGAACTGGGAGGGGAAGAATGGGTGTAATAGCTAGGAAGTAGGCTGCAACAGTTAAGTACATGAGTCTGATGTTAGTCCTGAGTCTGACTGCCAACTCTAGTGCTTTCTAGTTGTGCCAGCCTCAGTTTCTTCATCCATAAAACAAAAATGATAATTCTTTTTTTTTTTTGAGTCAGAATCTCACTCTGTCACCCAGGCTGGAGTGCAGAAGCACACTGCTCATGGCCACCGTAGCCTCAACCTGCTGGGCTCAGGCGATTCTTCTTCTGCCTCAGCCTTCCAGGTAACTGGAACCACAGGCATGTGCCACCACACCTGGCTAATTTTCTGATTTTTTTGTAGAGACAAGATCTCACCATATTGCTCAGGCTGGTCTCGAACCCCTGAGGTCAGGCAATCCTCTTGCCTCCGCCTCCCAAAGTTCTGGGATTACAGGTTTGAGCTACCGCGCCCAACCTAAAGGTGATAATTCTTAACTGTTATAGGAATATATAAAGTGTCAGGAGCACAGTAAGCTTTCAATAAGTGGTAGCCATGTTACTAGGCTTAGTGTCAGGGTTTTAGGGTAGGGTTGTAATCATAGCAGGGAGCTGGCATATCATCCCAGGAAACCAGGGCCTAAGCCCATAGTGTAGCTTGGGCCCTTGTGTCAGGAGTCAGTAGGTATCCAGGGGTTAGAGCTAGTGTAACACTTATCTCAGAACCCCTCTGCTGGAATCTTCCCAGGCCTGATCAAAGTTTGCCTATAGATTGAGTGGAATCAGGCCTGGGAGGGTATCCACTCCCTGCTCAGACATTCACACTTCCTCCCTGACAGATGGAATTACTGAGGCAAGAGGTGAAAGACAAGGAGGCTGACTTTCTAGTCCAGGAAGCACAGCTGCTGGAGGAACTAGAGGCATCTCGGATCATGGAGCAGCAGCTGCGAGCTTCCTTGTGGGCCCAGGAAGCCAAGGCAGCCCAACTACAGCTGCGATTGTGCAGCACAGAGAGCCAGCTAGAGGCACTGGCTACGGAGCAGCAGCCTGGGAACCAGGCCCAGGCCCAGCTGGCCAGCCTCTACTCCGTCCTACAGCAGGCCCTGGGGCCTGTTTGTGAGAGCAGGCCCGAGCCGGGTGGTGGGGGAGACTCTGCTCCCTCCCTCTGGGGTCTTGAGCCAGGTGAGGCAGCCACCCAAGACCTAAGTCCTCTGGGTCAAAGCCAGGCCCAGCTCCTAGGGGAGAAGGGAAGGGAATGTGATTCCTTAGGTAATATTGCGTCAAGGCTAAGGCCACATTCTTTGGAATTAATTCTGAGTTTGAACCCCAGCTCTGCCATGTGTTAGCTAAGTGCCCTTGGACAAGTCACTTGTCTCTGAGTTTGATTTTCTTGCACTACTAAATGAGAATGTTAAAAGTACCTATCTTAGCCGGGGTCGGTGGCTCAGCCTGTAATCCCACGCCTTTGGGAGGCTGAGGTGAGTGGAT